GGGGGGGGGGGGGGGAATCCGCGTTTGCGTTAATTACCGGGGCTTAAATAACGTTACCGTTAAAAATAAATACCCAATCCTTTTAATTAAAAAAATATTAAACGCTTTTTCAAAAATTAAATATTTTACCAAGTTAAATATTATTACGGCGTTTAACCGCTTACAAATTGCTTTAAAAAAACGAATGAAAAATGGCGTTTATTATTAAATTCGGCTTTTTCAAATGTTTAATAGCGAATTTCGGCATAACAAGCGCTTTTAGCTTTTTCCAATGCTATATTAACCGTATTTTGTTAAACGCATTAAACCGTTACGTTACAGCATATTTTAATAACGTTTTTATTTATAGCAAAATATGAGCGGAATACCAGCGTTACATTTGCGTAATGGTTTAAAAACTTGCTAACGCGGGCTTTATTATTAACATTCGGAAATGCCAATTTTTAATATAAAAAACCAAATATTTCGGTTTAATTATTTTAATTACAAAAATTTGCATAAATAAAAAAAAGGTTAAAGCAATTCGTTAATAAAAATAGCTTATAACGTTAAAAATTTTTTGCCGTTTTATAAATTTTACCAACTTTTATCGCCGGTTTATTAAAGGTTTTTTCGTTATTGCTAAACCTTTTTATTTATTAATAAGCAAGCAATTATAAGTGCGTTAATAACTTGCCAAAGCAATAATAGCTTTTTACCAGCTTAAAACCGCTTTTTTTTTAAATATTGTGCTTGCACATTACAATCTAGCCTTTAAAACAATTGTAAAAGCAAACGCTTTTAATTGGGTTACGGGCGGGGTGCTATTCCAAATAAATGCGCTTGGGGTACGTTAGTCCGTTGCTTTTTTTTAGCCAAATATTTACTAGCTAAATGCAATTACGAGATTTACGATAAAAAATTGCTTGCAATTGTACGCGCTTTTAAAAAATAAAAACCGGAGCTTTAAAAAACCGAAACGCTAATAAAAATTTAAACAAATTACAAAAACTTACAATTTTTCGTTACCATTAAATTGCTTAACTAGCGGCAAATACGCTGGTCCAAATTTTTTAGCGATTTTAGGTTCCAAATTGTGTACAAACCAAAAAAATAGCTACTGTGCCAAACGCCTTTTTTTAACCCCCCGGCGTTAAACCGGCGCCCCGCAACGTTGCTATAAATAACCGCTTTATTAATAAATATAAAATCCTTTTCCCCCCGAAACGGTTAGCGGAAAAAACGCTGGCGCAATTTTAATGTTTTTTTTGTATTAACTAAATATTTTCGAACTTATTAACGCATTTATTAACAGGAATTACGCTACGTTTAAGCTTTACCAAAATTTATTACAATGCTTTAATAACCCGAATATCCGCTATTTCTTTGCTTTTTTGCGCAAAACGTTTAAAATTGCTAAAATTAATTGCTAAGCAATTTAAAAGCGCATTTACGTTAAAAAAAAGTTTATTTATCCCTTTAAATAACGCTTTTCGATTGCAAATATTGCATAAAATGCATAATTTACCACCCGGCGGTTACGCAAAAAGGAGCAAAACATATAACCTTTTGCAAAAATTATATTTTTAACCAAAATTTTCCCGAAACGTTAGCGTTTTTATCCGGGGCTGCCATTTTTGCAAAATGGTTAAAAAAAAGCATTTTTTTAACAAGCTATTTTAACCGTTGCTAATCCCGTTTAAACCATAAACAAATTTGTTAATGGATTTTATCGGCCCGTCGCCGCCGTATAAACGCCGGGGTATTATTTATACCAATATTTTAATGGTAATGGATAAATTAACAAAAATAAAGCATTACATTTTAATAAATACCATTAACGCGGGCAGTTTAACAAACGCTTATTTATTGGTAATGTACCGTTAATACGGCACCCTTAAAACCATTGTATTTAATAAAAGCTTTTAATTTGTATTTAACTTTTAGCGGGAATTGCAGCACGTTTAAGCGCTACTATAAAAAAATCGTTAGCGTTTTACCCAAAGTTCGACGGGCAAACGAAAATCCTAACCGCGTACATAAAGCAATATTTCCGTAACTTTTGCTTTTATTATTAAAACGATTGGTTTAATTGGTTTTTATTGGAAAAATTTGCTAATAACAATTAAATATTAAAAACGACGGGAATTTTACCGTTTTTTGTTAATTACGGGTAAAACCCTTTTATGGAATCCGAACCAGCTCCCTTTTTAAATACCAACAATACGCCGGCAAAGCAACGGGAAATTTACAATGCGTTTACAATAACCAATAAAATCCAAACAATTTTTAATTATATTAAAGCAATAGCAACCGTAGCTTAAAAACGGTACGAAAAAACGGCCAACCGTTACCAAACCAACCCAAGCACGTTCGTTACAAAAAATTAAATTTAAATAAATATAAAAAACATAACATTTTCGAAGCTAACCTTTAAATTAAACGATAAATGGATTGGCCCGTTCCTTATTATTAAAGTTTATAAACAAGCCCTAACCATTAAATTCCCGCTTTAATACCGTTTGTTTTTTGGTTTTTACACTTTGTTAATCCAGCAAAACCATTCGGAATTGCCGGAACAAAACGCTATTAACAAAAAATACAACCAGCGAATTGCCGGCGTTTTTTTAACAAAAGGGAAAATACTAACGATAATAGCAAAAAATGGGTTTTCGATAAAAATTTTAATTTTAAAAAAACGCGGGAAAACTTTTAATACAAAATTAAATGGCTCGTACTTTACGCTTTAACCTGGAAACCTTATTGCAATTTTAAAAAAGCAAATAATTGCATTCGGAATTTTTACCGTTTGCATTTAAATAAGCTTAAACCACCAAATTAATGGTACGAACCGGAAACGGTACAACCGGTATAAAAAATAACGGGCCCGGCGTTTCGTTAGCGTTAAAAATAACAAGCACTAAAACGTAAAGGCCGCCCAAAAAAAACTTAATTATTATTAGCACAACCCTTTATTAAGGTTTTGGCTTAAAAAGCACCGTATTGTACACCGGCAATACATAAAAAGCAATTTAAAAATAACGCGAAAAAATAACACCGTAACGCTAACATATTACCGCGAGTTTAAACGCGCAAAAAAAATAAAAATACGCCCGGGAATACCCAAACGCCGCGCTAGCCAAACCTTAAATTTAAACCAAAAAAAACCGATTAAACGTTGCGCTTAAGCATTATTACTTTCCAAAAATTTATTTTTCGAAAATAACGATAAATTACCAGCGGTTTATTCGCCGCCACCCGCTTTTATTATAATAACCCTTTTTATTTCGTTTTTTAAAAATAACAACGATAAAAAAAAAGTTACCTTTTTTCCAATACATTTACCAATTTTTTGCGGGAAAAAAAAATGGCTGGAAATTTATGCTAAATAAAAAATATTATTTTGGGAAATTAATCGAAATAACCCCCCGTTACGATTAAAAAACCTTAACGCGCCGTTAAATACGCGGCGTTATTCCAATTATTCCCGTTTTGGGCAATAATTGCAAGCCATACGGCATATACAATTTTGTAATATTTTAAATATAAGCTTTTTTACGGCATACCAAATTGTATGTTCCAGGTTATTAAAAAAAGCCGCATTTTTACCCGGTCCTTTTAAGCCGGAAAACGAAGGAAATAGTAACAAGGTTAAGTACCAATTAACAAAATGGCAATAACGCGCCGTTAATGCGTTAAAGCAATAAAAAGGCCGGGTTGGAATTAATGTTAGCAAAAAGCGTTTTTGCAAAAGCAAAAGCAAAACGCAAAAACGCGGGCATAACGCTTATTTAACAACGGTTTTGCAGGTTATTTATACAATAAAAACGCCGTTCGGCGGCGTTTGCAATTTTAAAACCACGAAAAAGCTTGGTGCATATGGCCGCGGTACGAATGCAAACGTTAGTTAATAAAATGTACTGGTTTTTACCCGTACGGGCGGGGTTTAAAAAAACGGCGCTTTTCCGTTAATACGGAAAAAGCTTTTGTAAATAACGGCCAAACGCTTAAAATTGTAAAGGTTTTTTTCCATATAAAAAAAAGGTTGCAAATTTGGGCGTTAGCAATACGCTAGCAAAATTTTAATTAACAAAACGAATTTTGTTACAATTCTCTTTTTTATTTTGGCATTGGTAGCATTAAACGTTAAAAAAAAGCGCAACCCGTTACCGTTGCGTTAAAGCTTTAAACCCGGGCTTACGCAATAAAAGTTTTAAATAAAATGCACCAAACTTTGGATAGTATTTTTGTATTAATTAATTAACGTAAAAAGCGTAAAAAATAAGTAATAACGCGAAAAAGGTAACGCAATACCGTACCGAGCCGGATTTTGCGGGCGTTTATATTATTAATTAATACAATAAAAAAAAAGCAAAAAAAACGAAACAATAATAAAATTACGAAGTAATAATAACGTTAAAACGGCAAATTAAAACATCGTAATAATAATTAAAAAAATTTAAAAAAACGTAACGCAAAGCGGGGAAAAAATTTAAAAAAACGGCGAAAAAACGTTAACGCAACGCGGAAATTCCGCTTTAAAAAAGCGGTAAGCAAAAAATTGCAAGCTTATGCGCAAAAAAATAAAAAACGCTTTAAGCAAACGGGGTTATGCACGCAACGCTATACCGGCGCAAAGTATTACGCTAACGCAATTGGAACAATTGCAATTTTATAATGGGGTATTGTTACGGTACGCGTTAAAGCATTTGGGGAAAAACCTAAGGCCGCATTTTTAACGCGCTAACGTTACGCTTACAAAACCGCGACAAAACGCCAAAAACGCTTTACCCAAATAGCTTCCTTTTCGTGCAATAACAAAGCCTTTTTATAATAATAAAGTGTGCGCCGTAGCAAGGATACCATATTTAGCCATAATGTTTTGCATAAAATTAAACCAAGCAAAAACAAATTTGGGATTTTCGTATTTGGCTTTTTGGTAATTGTATTTTCGAATTTAGCGCGTGCCAAGCTTTGCGCGGCGTTTAACGAATTTTTCGACCCAGCATTTGCTAACGGCGCCCGCGTTGCATTCGGCAAACAATTAATTGGCTATATTTTTGATACCAAAATGCCGGGGAGGGAATGCGCGAAAATCCAGCTTAAATATGTACTTAACAAGCGCTTCCTTTTTGGATTTTATTAATTTCCGTATTTTGGGCATGTAATTGCGTTAAGTAATTTGGCCGCGCTTTCGCCAGGCGAAAATGGAAAAGTTTATTTCGTAAATTTTAGCGGCGCCCCGGATATTTAACTATAAATTCGATGCGATCGCCTGAAAGGCTAAAACAATTTTGCGTTCGTCGCTTTTGTTTGCTATCGTTTGTTATAAAGCTATTCGTAAATAAAGTTGGATGAACGCGTAAACGCGTTAATTGTGGCACATATTGATGTGTGGCACACATTGATGAACTACGTTATACGATTTTTTCGATTTTTAATTGCAATTTGAAAAGGGTGTGTTTTGGCGGTTTTTGGTGAGATTTAGGGTGGCGGACAATGGGGGTGGCGGACAGGGGGTGCTTTAACTTACGGTTTGCTCCGGTACGGTATCGTTTGGTGCGACTTTTCCTGTGTGGTGCCGCTTATTAGTTGGTTTAAATGGAAAAGTAAGATTAAAAATCGGGGTGATGCATTTTTGCGCAAAAGCGCCCAGGCTTATAACCTGTTTGTTACGATTTCTATTCCATGGCTTTAAAAAAAAGGGATTAGCCCAAAACCTTCGTTTCGGTCTATCTAAATAAATACAGAAATAGGCTGTTGCTTAAAGTGTATTCTGCTTAAAGTGTACGGAACATATAAGCTGCAGGCTCCTTTAACATTGGCCGGTGCAACGCACCAATTTCCTTCCTTATTCTCCAACTTTAAATAGTTAATATCAACGCCTACCTCACTGCAGCATTGTCTCTTTGGTTGGTGCAAATCCTTAACACTAGGTTTAATTAATGCTATGAACGAAAGACGTTTTTATAGGGAGGGGAAAAGGGAGAAAGGCGCGGAGCGCCGGACACGCGATGCGGAAGAAAAGGTGGTGCGGCGTCTTGTCCCACGGGCCATTCCGCGGCGCGTGCTTATGTGGATGCCTGCGGTGAACCGCCCCGGGTCGTCACATGTACCAGTTTCAATTTAACGAATTCATTCTTTTTGCACAATAAGAACCTCACAGCGCCGCTGCCAGCTTTACACGACCATTTCAAAAAGGTGCACAAAAAATAATAAACTGGATTTAAACAAACTGTATCACTCCAAAGCAAAACGCTTCGAGGACGCCCCTTTGGTCGAAAACTTCCACAAAAGTCACTCCCTAAGGAAAGGTTTAGGGAATGATAATTAAAGGCCGCCTTAGCACCATGTATAAATATGGCCCCAATGTCCCTTGCAAAGGGATCTGGAGGGCAAGCAACAAAAACGGTATTACCCAATACCTACACTTTGCCTTGCATCCGTAAACGTTGCCATTGCAATGAAGCTGAATTTTTAAAACCTCCCTGCGAAAATACCGTTGGCACACAGCACGTTACAGGATTAAATTCGTGTTTACTATAACATTTAATTTTAAAACTAATTTACAAAAGTAAAAGATTTTAATTAACATCCGTTTTAGGCCCTTACCAAACTGCAAACCGTTTGATTTAATTAGAAATTAGGAACGTTTTAATACCTTAATCCAACGAACGTTTAAAAGCCACCTTGCAGTTGTGGTACAAATCCCTTAAATAGGTTTTTGTACCTAAAAAGGGCGTTTAAAGCATCGTTTAACTGTTGTGTACTGCGGCTGAATGTATTTGCTCCACGTGTTTTTTCGGTTATTCTTTTGTCGGTTATTCTTTTGTCCCTTGGAAACACAGCTCCACATTCTAAAATCCTTTTATCCGCGTTACTTTTACTTAAGCGCCCGCGCACGGCTGTCCGGGTACAAACGAGAAGGCGGTTCCCATTAAGAATAACGAAATACGTTGCAGGATATTTGTTAACATCACCGACATTTTCGGCATACCAGCTAACAATATCTATACTGCCTCGCTCGAAACCAGTCTTTGCTTAATCAGCCGTGCTTATTACCTTGTTTTTGGTAGCCGAAAGAGTTTTAACATCGTTTTCAGATAGCTCATTTGCAGATTTTTTAAAAAATCGAAGATCCTTTTTAATAAAAAAGGCATCACCTTAAAGAACGACTTGTTATCCAAATATGTCATTTTTAATTACAAATCTCTTTCCGACGCATTCATTAATAAAAATAAATTTTCGAATCTCGAACTTCTGCTCTTCTGTCAGGAAAAGGTTTACGCCACTTCCATCGCATTGAATTTTCATATCGCCCATAGCAGAACTTAGCGAATCCTCAATGTTAATTTTGCTTTCAACTGCAGCTATCCACATTTGCGGATATTGCTGCGTTCCCATAGTATTCTTCAAATTATTTTCCAATGCCTCAGCAGATTCATACTAAAATTGTGCGCGTTTATTCATAATATTAAAACACAAATGGCTGATTACTTGGTAGTTAACATGCCATAATTTAGCTTCCTGTTTGTCATTTCCGAGCTTCGCAATATCTGTATTCATTCTATCTAGTTTTTCGCTTTCAAAATTAAATACTTCTCTTTCCCTCGTTGCATCTACTTCTTTCCTTGCAATATAGGATGCTCCTCTTTTTTTTACCTCGCCAATATACGCTGCAAAGTTATCTGTATTGTCTGAATACAAAGCTTGGATATTAGCGGGTACTATGGCCCTTGGGTTTTGTTCACCCCTTGGCCTTTGTTCATCCTCGCAATCATCTGGCTTAAAGTGCCGCTATTGGAACTCTGCTTCATATTGCCTTGCTATGCATTGGCCAGAGGAGTCCACCATGTCCAGCTTTGCGTTATAATCCGTTCTTTTTTGGTCATTTAAAAGCATATGCATTACGGAATTAAAAACTGTGTAATGGTTAGCATACATAAATATCTATTTATAAAACTTATATACGTACAACTGGATATTTCGTCGTCTCCATTCTTTTTATCAAGGTGATAATTCCTTTGAAGTTTATTAATTGCCTTTCTAATATCAACTGGCGTCGCATCCCGTGAAAGACCTAGTAAATTATAAAAATCTTTATCAGAAGCATTAAACCAATCGTTAATTCCACGGCGCACCGCATCTATTTCATCGGCTGTTAGTAATTCTAGCTCTAAGCTTTCCTGTAAGCCGAGACGGTTTGTGCCATGCGGATTTGCGGGTGCGACAACACCAGCATCTGGCATAGCGTAATCACTGCTGCCTGACATTTTGGAGGTTATAAGAAATATTTCCATTAACCAGCGGATTTTCGAATGCTTTTCACTTTATATAAATAAGCTGGCAATTTAAGGACTGCTTCTAAACTTAAATGCTTTTGCTACGTACAGCATATTGGATGTTTTCAGCCCCAAATGCAAAAGCAACAAGTAACGCAAAGTGTTATAGGCTTTTGTTGCTTAAAAGGAGCCAGTTATAGCGTGTATTCAAGGATGGGAATTTCCAGTGTAACGAGAGCCTTGAAAGCAGACCCTGGCCGCCAATTGAATGTAATCCCAAAGCTACAGCGAAAAGTTGCGTTGGCTGCAGTTGCTTAAACGGAAGTTATTTACGCTAAAATGAAGTTAAAAACAGAAAACAAAATTCGAGGGCAAAGGTTATAAAAGACTAGCCTAAGGAAACTTCAAGTGTAATTACATCGCAAGGAAACTAAAGAAACATGGCTTTTACCAGTGAAAAGTCCGGCGTAAGGAAGGTGTGGGATATGATATTTAAGGATGAGAAATGGATCGAAAGCTTGCTTCTAATAAACAAAAGTTATGCGGAAGACGGAATCCGTAAATCTATTAATCCAACGTTAATAAGCATTGATTTAGAAAAACTTAAAATGGGGTTAAAGTATAAAAAACCTTTAAACCTTGCAATTGTTTTTCACGATTGGGATGGATATGCTTATTTTGGAGGAACAAAGGAAGGATTTCTAGCCTCTTTACAGAATCATGAACCGGATCCAGAACAATTTAAAGTTTCTATTTTAGACACTATAGGGACAAAACCTGTACTCATTCTTGAAGCACAAGATATTTTGAAGCCGACGGGCCATTTAACGATAAATGATCCCGAAAAGCTTTTTGCCTTAAAACCGGACCCAACAACGATGACCTTAAAATACAATGGTGGTTTTGAATATATCACTGAAAATATTGGAGGGTATATTGACACTAATAAAAAGTTTAAAATTAACAAGATTTTTTCAATTCCTTTACGCCTTGGAAACGGCGATATCGTCCATCGTGACTTTTGGCGTAGTGGTGTAACAATAGCCAACTTTACTTAGCATAAGAAATGGAATATGTACAAAGAGCCAATTAGTTATATTTGGAAGCCCGCCCCCCTAAAAACATGTGGGGATAGGGTTAGTTCCTTAATCGATTCCTCGGGTGCTTTCCTATTTGTTTCTTGGGGGTAAAAATTTAGCTAATTGTTACGGCGTGGCGTGCCCTGACGTGTCAAACTTTTTCAGCACCAAAAGGATTGTTTTATATTTTGTCCGCCTTTCCTTACAAAGGACTGCTGTTCTCGTAAATATACATAGAGATTTGGTCCTTGCATCGATTTTGCCCCTTTTCGTTTTGCCACCTAGAATCTTTGTATAAGGTGTGTTACGGCCTGGCGCGCCCTAACGTGCATTGCAGCCTTGTTTCAGCGTGAGCTGGGTGTATGAAACTGTGAGAGCCTGTATGGGTATCACGTAGTAGTAGGTAAAATCTCGGTAGAGGGAGGAGAGGGTCGCCGCCGGAGGCGGGGTCCCTCGCGCACAGAGGTAAATCTTTGTAGAAGGCCCACCCTTTACTGCCCATGACAGTGGGGGTGGCCGGACAGGGGGTGCACTGACTTATCGTCGTAATGGTCATACATCCGGTTCCACAAGCTCATTAGCGAACTCGAAAGCAAAAACGTGGAGGTGCGCATACACCGTGCCAGAAAATGGGAAAGCTGCTTCCAAAGTAGCTAATAATGGCTTTAAAAACGGCCACTGTCTTGATTCTCCACCTATCTTCACCTACCCTTTCACCCCAGGAGGGAAATTTGTTAGGAGCACGGGCGAAACCGCCCGGCAAAAAGGAGGAAAAGGGCATTGGCATAATTGGCCGGGCACGGACCCTTTCGGTAACGTGCCGGCGAAATGCCGGTATCGCGGCTAAAGCATAATGGCGAAATTAAAAAATAAAATAAAATTTAAATTGTACGAAAGCGCATAAAGCGCGGAAATTTTATAAAACCAACTTTGCGTGCTTAAAAAGGTACGAAAAAAAAAGTTAAAAAAACAATTTTTATTAAAAATAGCACTTTTGGTAAAAAATTTACGGAAATTTAATAAAAAAAATACTGTATCCGGCCCGTAACTTGGTAATTACCCGCTTTTGCACCGATTAACCTTTAACATATTGTTCCTTTTTTTATACCTTTTTTATTTAAAAAATAAGCCCGGGTAATTACCGAAAAGGATTGAACAAGCTTAAAAAAGGCATTTGCAATTTCGCACCGCTTACAATAACGCTCGATGCTACGTTAAACACGTTGGAAAAGGCCGTTGGGCCACCGGAATAAAATATTAAAAAAGCCCCGCAAATTTCCGACAATTTCGAAAACCTTTCCGTAAAAAAATTGCAAAAAATAAACGACGCGTTAAAAGCCTAAAGCAAACGCGCCCGTTTAATTTAAAAAATCCAAAATAAAAAGTTAAAATATGCGCATAAAAGTTTAAACGAAAATAAAAAAAATACTTTTAAATAACGAAAAGGTTTTGCGTAAAGCAAAATTATTTTTAAACCGCCCATATTTAAAAAATTTGCAATATAGCAAAATATTGTTTATTACATTAACAATTACAAATTTATTTTCGAAAACGAAAAAAAACGTTACGGTAAAAACCGTATAAAAATTTAAATAATTTCCAGCATTTTTAATTATTAGCAACGGGTATAATAAACAAAATACAAGCAAATATACCATTTAAATACCGGGGTATTGTTTATTTAAGCTAATTTTTTGCGGTAATTTTAAGCAAAATCGAAAAACCCCAATTCGCGGATATAGCTAGCAATTAAAAAGCTTGCGGGAAATACCGTTATTAAACAAAAAAATTATAAATTGTTTAAAACGTTCCGGATTTGTTAGGATTTGGTAAAAAACAACCTTTTCGAATTAACATTTAAATAAATAAAAATAACATTGCTTTTTAACCGGTTTCGCCCCGAAATCCAAAAACGGGTAATATTTAAAAGCTTTCCTTACATTATGGAAAAATTGCAAGCCAAAGCTTTTAAAGCAAAAATAATATCGAAACCGTACAAAGGGATACCGGGGGACACCGGTACTTTAACCGCTAAAAAGCCGGTTATTTGCTTTAAATACGGGCAATTAAACTACATTGCTGCAGCATGCAAAATACGAACGAACAACCCGGAAACCCCGTTGGCTTTAGCAACCATACAAAAAGCAAAAAGGAAAAGGCCCGAAATACGGTATTACGGGTATAAAAAGCTAAGCCATATCCGGCTAGCGTACCCCAAAAAAAGCAAAATATTGCTACCCAATTTAACACCGTTATTTAACCGTTTAAATACCGGGGTTTAAAAATGCGCTTTAGCGGTTAAAACGCGCTAAAAAACCAAAATGTATTTACGAATTAACGGTTACCGGGTAAAGTTAAAAGCGCTGGTTAATAATGGAAGCAACGTTAATTTGCTGCATAACCGTTTTTAATGGAAATAAAAAAATACCGGTTTTAAACGGGGGCTATTTGGCATAATTCGATACCAAAAAACGCATGCTTACGTTAAAAGTAAAAAAATACAAAATTTAGGTAACGAATAGTTAGGAAATAACCCAAAAATTAATGGTATTTTACGTAATAATGCCCCGGGCCGGGTACAACATTACGTTAAACATGCTTTAATTCCAGCAACAAGAAATTAAAATCCGGTTTGGAAATATAAAGTGGAAATTCCCGGTAATTACCAAAAAAATTAAAATAATTTCGTTGGAAGCAATTAAAAAATTGGTTTAATTAGGATAAGCGATAACCGTGCTAACGGTTGCACGTTCGAAAACCTTAAAAAACCCCGGGAAAAAGCTAAAAGCTTTTCCAAAATGGGTTAAAAAAATAGTTACAAAATATGCGCAATTTTATAAATTAAACCTTTTGCTAAAACATACAAGCTAAAATTACGCGATTGAATTAAAAAAAAAAAATGCCGTTTTACGAAAGCATTTACCTTTTATCCAAAAAGGAATTAAAAACCTTTTAGAAATATTTCGATAAAGCTATAACAAAGGGTTAAATCCGGTATTTAACCAATCCCGTTAACGTTAAAATCCTATTCGTTTTAAAAAAGGACGGGAAATTTCGCTTTTGTATTAATTATTAAAGTTTTAACAAAGTTACCAAAAAAAACCGGCTAACATTCCCGCTAATTTACGAAATATTTAATTAAATATTTAAAAACCAGTACTTTATTAAATTAAATTTAAAAAACGTTTATTACAAAATACGAATTCGATAAAAAAAACGAATGGAAAACCGCTTTCCGTTACAAGTACGGATATTACAAATATTTAATAATGCTATTTGGTTTGGCCAATGCACTGGTAACGTTTTAAAGCTTTATTAATATAGCATTTAAAAAATTAATTAATAGCATTTGCATTATATATTTAAACAATATCCTTATTTTTTTAAAAATACGGGAAAAGCACCGTAAAGCAATAAAAACGGTATTAAAGCGATTTAAAAAGTATAAGCTTTACGTTAGCCCGGCCAAATGCAAATTCGAAACGAATAGCATTAATTTTTTAAATTTTAAAATAATTAAATTTAAAATCGAAATTTTGCCGAACAAAATTGTTACAATCCAAAAATGGAAAATACCGGAAAGCATTAAAAACGTGCAAATGTTTTTAAACTTTACGGGGTATTACTGGAAATTTGTAAAAAATTACGCAAAAATTACCGCGCTTTTAACAAACTTTTTTAAAAAAAAGCACGGCGTTTTATTTGGAAAGCATTGCGAAAAAAGCTTTTTGCAAGCTAAAATTATTATTTATACAAGCTTTAATGCTAATGCATTTCGACCTTTCGAAACCGCTATACGTAAGGACCAACGCTTTGGCTTTTGCAATAAAAGCAATATTGTTGCAATTGCAAAATGGCTGGTAGCACCCGGTGGCTTACTTGTTAAAAAAGCTGCGGCAAAAAAAGCTGCGTTACGCAATCCCCAATTCGAAATTGCTAGCAATCGTAAAAGCTTTCGAAAAGTAACGGCATTACTTAGTTTATTTACAAAAAATTATTAAAATAATTATTAACCATTTAAATTATACCCATATCCTAACAAAAAAAAAGTAATAAAGCGCTAAATAAAATAATTCGAAAATTTGGCAAAATATAATTTTACGATTAAATAAAAGCCAAAATACCGGAACCCCGCGGATAACTTATCGAAACGTTTTTAAAACATGCTTATAAATAAAAAAGCCAATATAGCAAAAAAAAATTCCGAAATAACTTGCTAACCAAATTTTAAAAAGCAATTTACGTAAAAATAATTACCATTAAAAAAAATACCAAAACGATATTAAAGCGCATTTTTAAAGCACAAGCAAAAAACGATTTCGTTTAAAGCAATATTTAAAAAAGCAAATTTAACGTTTAAAAAATTAATAACGGCTTATTTAAGCACAAAAAAAAATTTGGGTTCCGAATTTAACGCCGTTGCAACGGGCAATACTTTAAAAATAATACAATAATTTAACGGAAGGTTACAAAAGCATAGCCAAAACTTTAAAAAAGTTTAAACGCCAATTTAAATGGCCGGGTATAGCTAAAAACGTACGCAAATACGTACGAACGTATTAAATATGCCAGCAAATAAAGCCAAAAATACAAGCACTTTACGGGTTGTTAGCACTTTTGCCCGTACCAAACCGCCCGGAACAAAAGCTATCGATGGATTTTATCGAAAAGTTTTTAACGTTAATAAATAAAACCGGCAAAAAGCGCAACGTAATATTGGTAATGGTTGACCGGTTTACCAAATATAGCTTTTTTATCCCAACGTTTACGAAATTAATTAGTAAAAAATTAAAAAGCTTTTTATTTGCATACGTTTAAAAATTGTTAAAAACGCTTAAAAAATTATATTAAACCGAAACAAGCTATTTACAAACGGGTTTTAAACAACCTTTGCGAAATATTTAAAAGTTATAAAAAACTTTTAATAACGTATTACCCGCAAACCAATAAATAAACGGAACGAACGAACCAAACGGTAAAGCATTATTTCCAATGCTTTTGTTGCAAAAAGCAAAACGATTAAGCGTTGCTGTTACATTTAACAACGTAAATGCATAATACGAACGTGTATTTAAGGTTGTAAAAAACCCCGGCGTTTTTGTTAATAAAGTTTTACCCGCAAAAGCTTTATAACTTTTAAATAATTAAAAAAAAAGCTTTAGCAACGGTTAAAATTAAAGCGGGGGCTTTGGAAGCAATTAAAAAGCAAGCCAAAAAATTGCTAAAAAAAGCAAATAATACGTACAAAAAATATTACGATAAAAACAAAACCCCGGTACCTTTTGGGGTAAAAAATTGGGTATTATTAAATACGGTAAATATTAAAATAAAAAGGCCTTCGAAAAAGTTATTAAATAAATGGCTGGAACCTTTCCAAATTACGAAAATAATTGGGTTAGCCGGTTTGGCGTTCCGGTTAAAACTTTTTATAAATTACCGGATATATAACGTATTTCCGGCAAGCTTATTACAAGCGTTTAAAAAAAACCCCGGCAAAAAGCTAAAAAATAAAAAACCAAAAATCGAAGCGAAAAAAAACCGCTTTAAAATAAAAGCTTTGCTAAAATATAAAAGGCTTTTACGGAAACGAAAATACCTTATTAAATAAACAAGCTATAACAAATCGAAAAATTCGTAAGTTTTTAAAAAGGATATTACGAAAAAAATTGTTTAAGCGTATAAAGCAAGCTTATTGGATGCAAGCTTACCAAATAAGGAAAATACCGGATTTTAGCGGGTAAATACCCGGAAAAAACGGGGGTATTACAAAAAAGGAATAACAAAGGCTAAAAAAATGGCCCAAAAAATGGTTTAAACGTGCTAAACCGGTTAGCCACTAAAAAAGGACGTAAAAAAACCCGTAAGCGGTTTGTAATAGCCGTAAAATATCGTGCTTTATAAACAAAAAATTAAATAAAAACGGTATAATATAAAAAACGCTTTAAATTAATAATGCAATATATTTAAATTCCAAAGGACATGCAAAGTATAGCACATTTTAAAAAGCTTTAAGAAAGCATGCTGAGCGCAATACGCTAAAGCAATTACCGCATTTTAAACGTACGTTATGGTAAAACACCATTGCCTGCCTAAAAAAAAAATAAAAAAATTTCCGGATGGTATAACAAACGGGCTTAAGCGTTTAAGTAACGGTAAATGCATATTAGCGGTATTTAAACTTATTAAAAAGCGAAAAAAAAAGCATTTTAAAATTATCCATTAAAGCATTAAAATTTAATTGGTAATTAAAGATTTTGGGATTTCGCAATGCTGCAAAAGCAGCATAACAAAAGGAAATTATGGTTTTAATTATAACAAATTAACGAAAAAAACTTAAAATTAATTACTTTTCGAAAAGGGAATACCAATAATTAATTAAAAAACATGTAAAAAAAATCGATTAAATGCCGTATTTAAAAAAACCAAAATTTCCGGAAACCACGTCCTTTTCGTTAGCGCTAAAATCGTTGCCGCTAAAATCGTTGGCGTTAAAAGCGGCACTTTCCGGCGCCAATACAAACGCCGTACCTTTACAGGAAATTGCGCGGTTGTAAATTTGGGTATTTAAATGCGCCGCAATTGTAACAAAGCTAGCGGCAATGCTATTAAAAAAAGCAACCATACCTTTTTCGAAACGTTTAAAAAACGCCGTTACTTTGTTAAAGGAATTTTCGATATTAGCTAAAGCTTAAACTTGCCTTTTCGTTTAAACGGCGATAGCGTAAAGTTATTAAAAAATGTTTTAAATAATTTCCAATATCGTAGCGCTAACAATTTTGCGCTAAATGCGTTTTTAAATAACGGCTTAACATTTGTAACGCGCAAATTGTTCGGCCAATATGGTATAAAAAGATTTAATTTTTTAAATAACTTTGCGGGCGCGAAATTGGGTTTTAATAAACTTTTCGAAAAATTTCGGTATTGCTTTAAGGAATTGCTTATAAACGGTATTTAAAATTTTGTAAAAGTTTTAAGCCATTTACCAAAACCATTTGGAAATTTTAACGCAAATTTTATTACTAACCACGTTTTTGCAATAAATGCATTTAAAAAATTCCGTACAATTATCGAAGCATATTGGTATACGGGGGTTAACGGTATAATTTTAATATGCTTAACAATTAAAACAACGGTTATAAAATACCGCACGCTCCGTATAATTATTTTTAAAAAAGGGCAAATAAATAAGGTTTTAATTATCGCTTTATTGGAAATCGATAATTTTTTGCAACGAAAGCGCGTTGCAAATACCCATATAAAGCGAAAAAAAAAAGCAATGTTCGTTTTGGGGGCAAATTTATTAAAATTAAAAGCGTTGCGGCGGCGTTTGTTGCGCGTTTTACGTTTTTTTCGGCGGCGGTTTTTTTGCCGTAGCGGTTAAAACCCGCCGGGGGGTTACCGGCAAAACGCTTGCGGGAATTTTAAAAAGCTGCAAGCGCAAAAAGGCCCAATAAACCCGCGGCATTTAAAAGGCTTACCGAAAAGTTACCGGTAAAGCGATTGTTAAAGATTTAAAGGATTGAAAGCTCTGGCAAATCCAAATCCAAATCCAATTAAATTACGATAGCTAAGGAAAATACCGGGGGGTTACCAAAAAAGCGTTAAGCCGGGGCTTGGGGAACCGGGGGGCCAAAAAGGGCCAACGGGCCAGCTGGAACCAAAAAACCCAAAGCAAGCACTTAACGGAAACCCAACTTTTTACCGCGGCGGTTGTGCTAAACGACATTTATAGCTACCGGTTAAATTTAAAAGTTTAAAAAAAGCGGTTAAATACCAATTACTTACGGTTACGGTTATCGAAATTTTTAAAATGGTTATTAAATGCACAAAAAGGAAAAAAAAGGGCTTGCGGTTTCGAACGGGAAAAAAAGCTTTTTATATACCGGTACGAACCTACTTTTCCAAATGTTACAAAATTTTATAACCGGTTTTTTTTAAGCATTGCCGGGCATTGGGGCGGTTTAACGAAATACCGTTAATTACCAGTTACTTACGGAATACCCCCGTACGGCGTATACGGTTTAAAATAAACCGTATCGGGAAAAGGCAATATATTAAAAATACGGGCGAAACCGCTTGGTAAAAAGCGGGAAACGTTAAATGCACAGGCAAAACCGCCCGGCAAAAAAAAAAAAAGCATTAACACAATTAACCGGGTACGGACTTTTCCGCTAACGTACCGGCAAAATGCCGGTATTGCGGCCAAAGTATAATAGCAAAATTAAAAAATAAAATAAAGCTTAAATTGTACGAAAGCGCATGGAACGCGGAAAATTTATAAAATTAACCGCGCGTGCCCAAAAAGGCACGAAAAAAAGGAAGGTTAAAAAAGGAACAATCTTTATTGGAAATAGCACTTTTGGTAAAAAGTTTACGGAAGCTTAATAAAGGAAACACCGCATCCGGCCCGTAATTTAGTAACCACCCGCTTTTGCATTAACTAACCCTTAACAAAATTATAAAAAACCTTTTATTGGTAAGTTACATGGTTCGCCAAAAAAGGCAAGTGTTAAATTACAGGGTCCAAATTGGGGCTTTGCAGCACGATTACAGCAATTTATAAAGTTACGTTTACAAGGGTTAAACTTGTTAAGCATTATAATATAATGCTAACAAGCCCACGTTGGTTGTTAAAAATAAGTGCTATTCCAGGGAAAGGGTGCCAATTTAATGCTTTTCTTTATATACCCACCGACGTTAATTTTAAAGGTTTTCCCCTTTAAAGGGTTGCGGTGCCGCGCGCGATTTTCCGCAATATTATTTTGTATGGGGATTGCAAAAAATCGACTTACGGCCACCAAAACGATTTCCGCGTTCGGCCTCCAAATTTAACTTGTGTTAATTAACGTGGGGAAGTGCAGGGTAAGTGCAGGGTAAGTGCAGGGTAGCACCTTACATAACTTATCAATTTCAACACGAAGCTTTTTGAAAAGCTTACTAAAGCTTATTTTCGCGTTTGCAAAGCTATTTAAAAAGCCAAATCTTTTTATATTATATCGGTTAAATAGCTTGCGCGTTACAAACGTTAAACCGTTATCCAAAAGCGCATTTATCGCAAAATTGCTAGCGCTGCAACACTAAAAGCTACCCAAAACATTTTTTCATATTTCCGCACTATTAGTATCCAAGCAAAAAAGCAAACCAAAGGCTTGGTTGCCGCCCAAACCTTTTTTGGTAAAATAGCGGCGTTTTTTTGGCGTTTCGAAAAAGGCGTGGTTCCCGCTTTAAATGGCATTAACTTTAATTTTTTTTCCATTTCGGCAAGTTTGGAAACCCTGGCTAATGCCCGCGCGGTTTCCGGTAAAGGTACGGCGTACGTGCCGGTACCGGAAAGTAACGATTTTAACAGCAACAACGAAAAAAACCTGGTTTCCAAAACCTTTGGGTTTTTTAAATTTAGCTTTTAATCGATTTTTCCCACATATTTTTTTTAATTAATTATTAATATTCCCTTTTCGAAAAGTGGTTAATTTTGGGTTTTTTTCGTTAATTTATTACAATTATAACCATAATTTCCATTCGTTATGCTGCTTTTGCAACATTGCGAAATCCCGGTATTTTTATTTTATTAATTAAGCTTTAATGCCCCAATAAATAATTTTAAAATGCTTTTTTTTTGCCCTTCAATGGGTTTAAATACCGCCGATATGCATTTGCCGCTACCCAAACGCTTAAGCTTATCCGCCGTATTATCCGGAGGTTTTTCCATTTCCTTTTTAAGCAAGCAATGGTATTTTACCACAACGTACGTTTAAAATGCGGTAATTGCTTTAGCGTATTGCGCTAAGTATGCCTTTTTAAAGCTTTCCAAAATGTATTACATTTTGCATGTTTTTAAAAATTTAAATATGTTGCATTTAATAATTTGGGGCGTTTTTTATACTATACCGTTTTTACTTAACCTTTTGTTTATAAAGCACGATATTTTACGGCTTTTACAAACCGTTTAAAAGTTTTTTCCCGTTTTTCCCCGGTGGCCAGCCGGTTTGGTACGTTTAAAACATTCCTTTGGGCCCCTTTTTTAGCCTTTTATTAATTTCATTTTATGCCACCCCCGTCCTTTCCGGGTATTTACCCGTTAAGGTCCGGTACTTTCGTTATCCCGTAAATTTGCTTTATACTTTTTAATAATTTCTTTCGTAATATCCCTTTTTGGGGTTTACAAATTTTCCAATTTGTCGTAACTTGCCCATTTAACTAGGTATTCCCGTTTCCGTAAAAGCCTTTTATGTTTTAGCAAAGCCTTTACCTTAAAGCGATTTTTTTTTTCCGTTTCGATTTTTAATTTCTTATTTTTTGGCTCCTTACCAAATCTTTTTTCAAATGCTTGCAACAAGCTCGCCGGAAACACGTTATGTATTCGGTAATTTATTAAAAGCTTTAACCAAAACGCTAAACCGGTTAACTCAACCACTTTTGTAATTTAAAAAGGTTTTAGCCATTTATTTAACAACTTTTTTAAAAGCACCTTTATTTTAATGTTTGCCGTATTTAACAATGCTTAATTTTTTACCTTAAAAAGCACCGGGGTCCTGCATTTATTATAATCCTTTTTGTACGTATTATTCGCTTTTTTTAACAATTTTTTGGTTTGCTTTTTAATTGCTTCCAAAGCCCCCGTTTTAATTCCAGCCGTTGTTAAAGCTTTTTTTTTAATTACCCAAAAGTTATAAAGCTTTCGCGGGTAAACCCTTATTAACAAAAACGCCGGGATTTTTTGCAATTTTAAATGCACGCTTATATTATGCATTTACGTTATTAAATGCCATAACAACGCTTAATTATTTTGCTTTTCGCAGCAAAAGCATTTAAAATAATGCTTTACCGTTTGGTTCGTCCGTTTCGTTTATTTATTGGTTTGCGGGTAATACGCCGTCGAAAGTTTTTTTATAACCTTTAAATATTCGGCGAAAATTGTTTAAAACCCGTTTATAAATAGCTTATTTCGGTTCGATACAATCTTTTCGGGCATTTTTAACAATTTCCAACCGTATATAAATAAAAAGCTTTTTAATTTTTTATTAATTAATTTCGTAAACGTTGGAATAAAAAATTATATTTAATAAACCGGTTTATTATTACCAATATTGCGTTGCGCTTTTTGCCGGTTTTATTTACCAACGTTGGAAATTTTCCAATAAAATCCATCGATAACTTTTGTCCCAAGCGGTTTGGCACGGGCAACAGTATTAACAACCCGTAAAGTGCTTATATTTTCGGCTTTATTTGCTGGTATATTTAATACGTTCGTACGTATTTGCGTACGTTTTTAGCCATACCCGGCCATTTAAATTGCTATTTAAATTTTTTTAAAATTTTGGCCATTTTTTTATAACCCCCCATTGGGCTATCGTATTATTTTTAAAGCATTGCCCGTTGGAACGGTGTTAAATTTAAAACCCAAACTTTTTTTTTATGCTAAAACAAATTATTGCTAATTTTTTAAACGTTGGGCTTGCTTTTTTAAATACCGTTTTAAACGAAATCGTTTTTTTTTGTGCTTTAAAAATGCGTTTTAATATTGTTTTGGTATCCTTTTCGGTAATGGTTATTTTTATTTAAGTTGCTTTTCGGAATTTAGCTAACAAATTATTTCGGAATTTTTTTTTTGCTATATTGGCTTTCCCGTTTAAAAGCATATTTTAAAAACGTTTTAACAACCCGTTTGCAAAATTCCGGTATTTTGGTTTCCATTTAATCGTAAAATCGTACTTTGCTAAATTTTCGAACCATTTTGCTTAGCGTTTTGTTACTTTTTTTTGTTAAAATATAAATATGATTTAAATGGTTAATAATTATTTTAACAATTTTTTGTAAATAAGCTAAGTAATGCCGTTATTTTTTAAAAGCTTTTACAATAGCCAATAATTCGAAATCGGGAATTGCATATTGTAACTTTTTTTAGCGCAGCTTTTTCGATAAATAAGCTACCGGGTGTTACCAACCGCTTTGCAATTGCAACAATACCGCTTTTATCGCAAAGGCCAACGCGTTGGTCCTTACGCATAATAATTTCGATAAGTTAAAATGCATTAGCACCAGGGTTTTATAAATAGCAATTTTAATTTGCAAAACGCTTTTTTCGCGATGCTCCCCAAGTAAAACGCCGTGTTTTTTTTTAAAAAGGTTTGTTAAAAGCGCGGTAATTTTTGCGTAACCTTTTACAAATTTCCGGTAATAACCCGTAAAACCCAAAAACATTTGCACGTTTTTAATGCTTTTCGGTATCCTTTATTCCTGGATTGTAACGATTTTGTCCGGCAAAATTTCGACCCCAAATTTGGTTATTTTAAAATTTAAAAAATCGATACTATTCGTTTCGAATTTGCATTTAACCGGGTTAACGTAAAATTTGTACTTTTTAAATTGCTTTAGCACCGTTTTTACCGCTTAACGGTGCTTTTCCCGTATTTTCGAAAAAATAAGGATATTATCCAAATATACAATATAAATGCTATTAATTAATTTCCCAAATGCTATATTAATAAACTTTAAAACGTTACCGGTGCGTTGGCCAAATTAAATAGCATTACCAAATATTTATAATGTTTATATTTGCAACGGAAAACGGTTTTCCAATCGTTTTTTTATTGGATCCGTATTTTGTAATAAGCGTTTTTTAAATTTAACTTGGTAAAGTACTGGTTTCCAAATACCCGGTTATATATTTTATAAATTAGCAAAAATGTTAGCCGGTTTTTTTTAATAACTTTATTAAAACCCCAATAATCGATACAAAAGCAAAGCTTCCAGTCCTTTTTTAAAACGAATAAAATTTCGGTACCGGCGGAATTGGTTAAATGCCGGATCCAACCCTTTATTATGGCTTTATCGAAATACTTACGGAAAGTTTTTAATTCCTTTTCGAATAAAAAATAAATGCTTTTGTAAAGCGGCATCGTTTTTTTTCCCAATTTAATCGCGTAATTTTAGCTTGTATGTTTTAGCAAAAGGTTTAATTTATAAAATTGCGCATATTTTGCAACCATTTTTTTAACCCATTCTGGAAAAGCTTTTAGCTTTTTCCCGGGGTTTTCCGGGGTTTCCAAGCGTGCAACCGTTAGTATAGCTATTGCTTGTTCCAATTAAACCAGCTTTTTAGCTATTTCCAACAAAATTATTTTAATTTTTTTAATAATTACTAAAAACTTTTACTTTATATTTTTAAATCGGATTTTAATATCTTTTTGTTAAAGTTAAAGCATATTTAACGTAACGTTATACCCGTTCCGAAGCATTATTACGTAAATTATTACTAACTTTCGGGTTATTTTTTAACTATCCGTTGTTTGGGTTTTGCATTCCTTTTTCCCCCATGTAAGCATGCACTTTTTGGTATTAAATTACGCCAAATAACCCTCGTTTGGCACCGGTATTTCCTTTGCTTTTATTAGCAAACGGTTATGCATTAAATTAACGTTGCTTCCGTTATTAACCAATGCTTTTAGCTTTACCCGGCAATCGTTAATTTTAAAACATACTTTGGTTTTTTTAGCGCGTTTTAACCGTTAAAGCGCATTTTTAAACCCCGGTACCCAAATGGTTAAATAACGGTATCGAATTTGGCGGCAATATTTTGCTTTTTTTGGGGCACGCCGGCTAAATATGGCCCAATTCCCCACATTTATAATACCGTACCTTTGGCTTTTTCCTTTTTCCTTTTTGGCCGGGCCTTTTTTGGGTAAGCGTGGGGGCCGTAAGGGTTTTCGCGTTATTTATTCGTGTTTTGCATGCCGCGGCAATGTGTCCCAATTGCCCGCATTTGTAGCAAATAACCGGCTTTTTAATAGCTAAAACATTTGTATTTCCCGGCGTTTTTTTGGGTTATTCCAATATTATTTTTGCTTTAAAAGCTTTTGCTTGCAAATTTTCCATTATATAAAAAAAGCTTTTAAGCGTTACCCGTTTTTGGATTTTAAAGCGAAAACGGTTAAAAAGCAATATTATTTTCGTTTATTTAAATATTAATTCGAAAAGGTTATTTTTTATTAAATCCCAACGAATTTGGAACGCTTTAAACAATTTGTAATTTTTTTGTTTAATAACGGTATTTTCCGCAAGCTTTTTAATTGCTTGCTACATTTGCAAATTGGGGTTTTTCGACCCGGTTTAAAGCTATCGCAAAAAATTAATTTACGTTAACGGCGCCCGGGTATTTAAATAATGCATTTGCTTGTATTTTATCCATTGTACCCGTTAACGGTAATCGAAAGTGCTAAAAGCTATTTAAACCTTTATACGGTTTTTACCGTAACGTTTTTTTCGCTTTTAAAAATAAATTTGTAATTGCTAATGTAATAAGCAATATTTTGTTATATTGCAAACTTTTTAAACGTAAACGGTTTAAAAATAACTTTATTTTACGTAAAACCTTTCCGTTGTTTAAAAAAAAAGATTTATTTTTGTTTAAATTTTTATGCGCATATTTTAACCCTTTATTTTGGATTTTCCAAATTAAACGGGCGCGTTTGCTTTAAGCTTTTAGCGCATTGTTTATTTTTTGCAACTTTTTTACGAAAAAGTTTTCGAAATCGTTGGGAATTTGCGGGGCTTTTTTGGTATTTTATTCCGGTAGCCCGGCGGCTTTTTCCAAAGTGCTTAACGTAGCGTTAAACGTTATTATAAACGGTGCGGGGTTGCAAATGCCCTTTGCGGGTTTGCTTAATCCTTTCCGGTAATTACCCGGGCTTGCTCTTTTAATAAAAAAAGGTAAAAAAAAAACAATATGTTAAAGGTTAATTAATGCAAAAGCGGGTAATTATTAAATTACGGTTCGAATGCGGTATTTCCTTTGTTAAATCGCTGTAATGCTTTTTTAAAATGTTACTTTCCAATTAATTGTTCCTTTTTTAACTTCCCCCTTTTCCGCGCCCTTTTTAAAGCGTGCGGGGTCGGTTTTATAAATCCTTTATGCTTTTAACGCCCCCGCGCAATTTAAGCTTCGTTTTATTTTTTAACTTTGCCGTAATGCTTTGCTTGCAACGCCGGCGGTTTACCGGTGCGTTACCGGTGGGGTCCGTGCGTTACCAATTGTTCCGGTGCCCCCTTTCCCTTTTTGCCGAAGCGGTTTGCCCGTGCACTTAGCGGGTGGTTGGCCTGTGCACTTAACATACGTACAGTTATTTAAACCGGGTAAGTTTTATTATATGTTTACAGTTAACTATACCATTTTAATAACCAAAGTCGAATATTGTTCGTGGACAGCCTTTTAAGGTCGGGTGGGAAAGGCTTTTAGTTGCATTGCAAAATATTTAGAAGCTGTCTTATTTTTTTTAAATACAAGAGAAAGTCGTACAACGACTCTCTGCTCCCTTTTCATAAAGGGAGCAAAACAGAACGCGGACACGTTGTTCGGGGCGCGGAGCGCCCCGAGTGCGGAGGCCACGTGCACGGTCCGGTGTGTTTGTCCGTCCAGCTCCAGTATGGAGCCCGGATCTAAAGCGTGAATTCTTCCGGACCAAAGTTCTCCTGACCTTGGACGCCAGTTTCTGTGCGATCACGAGGTGCCTTTCCGACAAATAAAGCCCCACAGCAAAAGTCTGAATACAACCCCGCGTCAGCCCCCACAACGCGAAGCGCTTTACATCCTACACACCATTTTCAACCGCCCATAACTTTCTCAAATGGCTGCTCCAGTACGTGCTTTTGGTACCGTTTTAAACGCTAATCGCGGCTCAGGATGTGAGCTATCTCAAAGTCAGCGCGGCGCTATTGTTGCGAGCGTCAACGCGGGGAAAAACTACCGCGCCATCGCGTCTGCGATGGGGATCTCCACGGGGGCAGTCCAAAGTACGATGCAAAGGTTTAAGGAGCACGCAACGCTCGATTCCCTACCTCGTTCAGGGACCCCCTCGAAGCTATCGCCATCGGATAAGCGATTTTTGCATACTTTGGTCAAAAGAACCCCTGAGATTAAGTACAATCAGCTGGTTTCCGAATGCCCCGTGCGCAGGGAAGCATCTACAAATACAAACCTCACAGCTAATGCAAGCAGAGATGTATTTCTTGGTGTGCTGGCGTTCCGCCGATAAAATTGGCAGAGTGACACGCAGTTGTTGTAACCCAAATCATTTCCAGTTAACGGTCCGTAAATTTAAACCGGGAAATACACACTAATGGAGGGTTCCCGATGACAAGAAAACGGGCCACAGGTTTTGTGTCACTCCCTGCCTGTGATTGGTGGCAACACCATACAGCCACTTACCTAGGGCATCACCCTCACACAATCTCCAGGGGTCATGTTTGATGCGAGGCACCGTCTTCAGATTTGGGATCGTGTCAGTCCTACCATCTCATTGGCTGTCTAAAGAACTGCGATGCGGTGGAGTAATTAAGACGCAAACCCGGAAGTGTTAACTTTCATTTTCGACTATTGAAAGCACGCAGTCGACTCTCGAGACTCTTCCGCGCATTGCGCATCCGCTTCCGCCTCCGCGTATCTTACGTCATCATTTGCATCCTACGCCCGGCACGCATCAATCTTTGCAAAATAAAAAGGGTTATTGCATTTCATGCCGACGGACCCGTGCTGCCGAAACTCGGCGCAGGAGGCAGCTCAGTTAGCTCTTCGACCACGCGGGCTCGTTATATTCGTCCATCCACTCCGTGTACTCCGGGCCCGCAGTTGCCCATCCCTTAATACCATCCACCAGTACCAGGCTCCGCATGTCACCGTCGCCCTGATCGGAGATGTAGTCGGCAAACCAGCCGGCAGCACGGGTTCCTCGGCCGCGTGAGGAAGCTGTCGTTCCACCTCGGTTAGCGATGTGAAAATGGCGTTGCGGTATTCTGCAAAGGAGGGGATGGCCACATACAGCAGTACCAGATGACTTTTCGCACGCTTGCAGCCTTCAGGACGGAATACAGCGTCGGAATCGTCGGCCACAGACTCTGCGCCGGCAGATTGATGGACCCGCGAATGGTGCCGCCCTGTTGGTGGGTGTCAGAATGGAAGTGGCAGACAAGCAACGCCTGCCTCCCAACCGGAGTTGGAGCGCGTGGAGGGGGAAATGTGTCATACCTCATAATCGGTACGGCGAAGATCAACGAGCACGAAATCCCGAGGGCCACCGCGATTTTGGTCCTTGAGCTGAGCTTTGAGCATAGCCAGCACCTCCTCGCGCGTTGCACCCTGCTGTTCGGGTTTTCTGGGGGCTGGGTAGGTGGCGTGCCACGGCGGCGGTGTTGGCGCCACCGTCGTCGTGGGCTTAGTGGGCTGGGGCACAGACATCTTGGCTGAGCAGCTGCGAGGAAGCGAATGGAGTGTTCGCTTTAGAAGGGTTAGTACGGAGCGCATGTTTGAGCTTCCGCGGCACGCTACGTGCTCCGCGGCTTTTGTGGTGCCGAGGCGACCAAGGGGATTGTGTCACTGCCCTGATATTATTGGTTCTTGCCGTGGCCTAGGGTCTAGCTCAATCCCCCCCATCGCTTCGGTGGGCGTGGAGACACAATGGACGCGAACGTCGGCGATAGCGACGGCGACTGATAAATTACATGGAATTACGTAATTCAAGATCGAGCGGAATGAAGGGCACCACCTAGCCTCACTCAACCATCAGGTCCCCAGAGGAGGGGGGTTGCTGATGATGGCCTGGGCGCCATAAACGGACGAACTCGTGTCGGACTGGAAATGCTTATGGTGGCCAATATTGCACAGAGATGATATTTCAATTCGTAGACAGCGCAGAAAGGGGTGAAAAAATACCCCATCTCTTGTGTATCCTAACATCACTCTATCTTCGTGCCCGATTCCGTTGCCGACAGGCACGAGAAACGAAACAGTGCCGCTGCTGGTCTCTCAGTCCTGCCAATTCCACCTGTTCCCGATCCACTTGACAACGTATACTAGCAAGATCAACACCGGCACTTCAATCAAGGGCCCGACGGTAGCCGCCAAAGCCTGATCACTTTGCGGACCATATGTCGCGACGGCGACGGCAATGGCCAGCTCGAAATTGTTGCTGGCAGCTGTAAAGCTCTGTGTCGCGCTGAGCTTGTATCCGAAGTTTGCTTTTCGTGACGCCCATAGCGTGACAAAAAAGATGACGATAAAGTATACGAACAAAGGAGCGGCGACCCGGACGACGGAAACGATTTGGTGGACAACCTGGCGACCCTGCGAGGCGAAAAGGACGATGGTGGTGTACAGAAGGCCGATCAGCGACCAGGGCGCCAAGTACTTTAAAAAGACGTTCGTAAACCATTCGTGGCCGGCAATCGCTCGCACCGCAAACCGGGTAACGACGGCCGCACCAAAGGGGATGCCCAAAAAGACACCCACGCTGGTGGCGACAACCGAGTATGATACGTCCAGGGTGCCGGACTCACGGCTGATGACGCGAATGAAAAGGATGGCCAGCGGCGCAAAAAGAACCATTTGGAGGATCGAGTTGACAGCGACCAGGATAGCGCAGTATTCCGTGTCGCCGCCCGCCAGGCTCGTCCAGATCAAGACCTGGTCGCCATCGTTAGAACGGACACCTCAACCCTCTCCAACATGTCATCCCAAAAGGCGGCGCTTACCATGGCAATGCATCTTCCAAGACCAACAAGAATCAGGCCAACGCGGAGCTCGCCTTTATCGGGGAGGAACGCCCAGGCAACCGCCAGCTGAGAGTGTGTTAGTCAGGTACCTATTCAAATGGAGGACGCAACTCGAGCACCGGGGGGTGGGGGTTTGCACATACCATGAAAAGGGGTGCCACAATCCAGTTGACGAACACGCTGAAGCAGATTTGCTTCCAGATGCCTCTGTCCGAGAAGGTGCGGTGCAGAACCTCGTACTGCACCTTGCATAGAATCGGATACATCATCACAAGCAGCCCGACGGCTTGTAACAGTTTAGTCGAGATGCCGAAACAGAGAGCGGGGCGGGGGGGAAGACACACCTATCGGGATGGACACGTCGGCAAACTTGCCCTTCTGCAACGCTGGGCCGACTTCAGGCACGAAATTGCCCAGCAGGACCCCAAGAACCATGGCGAGCAGAATCCAAACGGCGAGGAAGCGGTCGAGCCAGCCGAGGGATTTGAAGGCCGAGGTTTTCTCCGCCAGCCGTGAGCCCTGTGTGTCTTGTTTTTCTGCATCGCTGGACGACCGCAGTGCTGGCGGATCCCTTGCAGTGGCCGCCGGCATCACCGCTAGGTCGTCGATGTGTTGCTTGGCCATTATTGGATGGATTGTCGCGCGCTGGTGCTGCCAGTGATGGTTGTCGTTCTTTGTGGTTTTTTGAGTGTCCGAAGAACGAGAGGCTGGAATGGGTGATGGATGGGGAGATGGACATGGTGCGGTTGATATATGGCCTCACTTCGTCTCCCCCGAAAATACACGCAAGGCCCACGTACCCCAGTCAAACCGCGTTTTCTCACCCAATCGCTCCCTCGCGTCACTCACGCATGGATGACCCAAAAGAACTGCCCCACCGAACGATCTCACGGATATCGCAAGATTTGACCAATCATCAACGAGGAGTGACACACTCCGGGTTTCCCAAAACGACGTGGCGTAGGCCCCTTCGCCATCCGCCTCTCCGAAGCCCTAGGGTAGCTTGAGAGATAGTCCCGGTTTTGTTTTTTATTCCCCAACTACTCCTTTTTGTATTTTCTACTCCTAATTTTGCTTGGTTGGACTGCTCGGTTCGTCATTCGTTGCCAGAACCCGGTAAACGGGTGAACAATCCCTCTGGCCTTTTGTGGCTCTGTGCCTCGCTGAAAAATCCATCGACCGTCTCGAGCCGAGTGCGCCGTAAGTCGTTCTTTTCCCTTCCTTTCAGTTGCCCCAGCGTGGCGAAAAAAGAAAAGAAAAGAAAAAAGAACCAGAATGCTACGGCTCTCCCACCCTCTCACCGTCCCTCCATGGTTTCTCCCCAGACCGAGGAGTAAGCTTATTCCAGTTTCCCAGCGCGCATTCCTTCGCATCCGGCCAAGCATGGGCGATCTGAACAACACCGCCGCGGCGAGGGAGCAGCTCCTGCCCGTCGCCGACCCCGCGTATCGGTTCCGCTCCTTTTCAATCCACGATGACGACCCTGCGGTTCGCAAACGATACCGCCCATTCCTCCTGGGCGACGAGATATCCAATTCGGACTGGGTCATGAAGCTCGAACTGGCGGCGGCGGCTAAGATGGTTGAGACCGAGATTCTCTCCCAAGGAAAGGACAGATTGAGAGTTCTCGTGCTCTACGGGAGCCTCAGGAGCCGGTTCGTGCCCTCCGCCACGGGCAATGCGTCGCAAAGTTGTCTAGCACCTGCAGAAGCTGACGTGAATCTCGCCGCCCAGGTCATACTCGAAACTCCTCGCCTACGAAGCCTCTCGCATTCTCTTCCGCCTCGGCTGTGACGTCCGAGTCTACGATCCATCCGGCCTCCCAGTCAAAGACGACCAGCAGCACGATCACCCCAAAGTCCAGGAGCTCCGCGAGCTCAGCAAGTGGAGTGATGGTCACGTCTGGGTGAGCCCAGAGCAACATGGCAACCTTGTATACCCCCCTCCCCTCCCCTTTACAATGCCTTGGCAACTTTGCATTTCGTCAAGAGCTGACCGTCGACAACAGACCGCCGTCTTCAAGAACCAGATTGACTGGATCCCGCTTTCCACCGGCAGTGTCCGGCCGACGCAGGGAAGAACACTAGCGATTGCCCAAGTCAACGGCGGCTCACAGTCTTTCAATGCTGTGAACTCGCTACGGATCCTAGGCCGCTGGATGAGGATGTTTACTATCCCGAACCAGAGCTCCATTCCCAAAGCATGGACGCACTTTACGGACGCAGACGATCCGGTGGACGGGGGCAGCCGTCTCAAACCGAGCTCAAACAGGGACAGGCTGGTAGACTGTATGGAGGAGTTTGTGAAATATACAATCATCATGCGGCCGCATTTTGATCTCTTTGGGGATCGATTCAGCGAGAGGGAGGATGCAAAGGCAAAGGCAAAGGCAAAGGCCGCCACGTGAATGGGCGCTCGGTTATATTAGATGGATAGGTGCGCTGGTAAATTAGATCAATAGATGGTTAAACGCAATACCTCCTCCGAAACGCCATTGTCTCAACTCGGCTCCTCTCCACACTACGCCCCGCAGGCAAATCTCTGACTCCCGGGGGATACTGTGCTAGCATGACGAACGCTCTGCGACTGCCTCTTTGGGAGGTCATCTCGATTCGTTCCTCAGTCTCGCCAGGTTTTGCCCTGCTCTATTTTATACTAATAAAATCGGTGCCTTTGTTTTGTTTGGATGTTTCATGCTGCAACCAGCCATCACTGTTTGGTAAGCCGCCCAATCGCTGCATGCCTAGAGGAAGTGGTCGACTTACCGCCACGGGGAAACGGCAGAGGACAAGATGTCACTGGGATGACATGATTGGCTGGCGGCCGTTGGACGACGCCGTTGCATGCCATCCAGAACGGCGGTGCCCAGTTGCTGGGTACCTGGGTAGGGAACAATCATTACTAACCAGCAGCATTCGCCCAGTGACGGTCTCCGCATCCGCATCCGTGTCCCCGGTAGTGCCCGGGGGGTAAATTGAGGCCGAGACCAATAAGCGCAGTCGTCGACGCCCGCAGAGACTAGGGTCACCTAGCACACCTTATTAGTGATGTTGCCTTTTTTTGCCTGGGAGACGGAAGCTGAGACGGCGGCTCAAGCCCAGTCCGGTTCCCCACGCATGCATGGCGGCCCTCCACAAGGCCCGTGTCGCGGTCGTGGCGAGCCTCCCCTGTGACAGCACCGACATCAGCCCGAGGGAGGCGGCTTCAAAAAAAGGTCAAGGTGCGGCGCAGCACACAGCGAGTTCCTATCCACATGGTCCATGGCTCGTGACCCAACATCGCCGTGCGCCTAGGCCCCCGCCCAGTCACATCAGCCAAGCGACGGTAGAAATCCGGCAGGGCGGTGGTGCAGGTGTTTGGGCTGTCCCGAAGCAGGGCCCTCTGATGAAGCTGTCGCCCGTATTTCAGTGCACTTTTCCTCCCCCGCGCCATAGCCGCCCGACCTCTTGCCCGTGAAAACATGATGCTCTTTTGATGCGTATGCGGAAACAACCCCCCATGCCATGGCCAGCTAGCGGAACTACCATGGTCCCATCGACATGAAGCTCGATATCTTCGAGTGCAGTGCGTGCGGATCGAACCCCGACTGCCGGAGCTGCCGGCGTCCCGGGAACTCTCTGGAGGGACAGGCCATCATCTCGACGACGTCTCCGCTGAAGTTCAGCAGCATCGAGATCTGCCGTCGTCCCCGTCTACCGCTGGGAACACGACGCCTGTGCCGTGCAGTCGGCGCAGTCCAAGGACAGCTTTGCCATGGTGGGAGCGAGGGATATGGTAGGCGGAACTTGTCTGCAGGCCCGGGATCAAGCACCCCGTTACTTTATCAACTCTAATATTGCCCTAGTTCCTCGACGTCAAGTGCGACGCGCCTCTCCACACAGCACCCAGCGGCACGACGGCGAAGACGGACTGGAGAAGTACAGCTTCCCCTTCTCCTTTGTGACTCCGTCCGTGTTCGGCGATTCGCACAGCAAGGAGCCGCATTTGTGCTGCACGCTGCCGCCGTCCTTTGACTACGCCAGACCGGGGTCCGATTCGCTGGCATGAGTCTCCCCGCCCGGCGCCATCGGTCAGCTACACCCTCGTCGCGCGCATCCAGTGCCAGGAAGAAGGCGACGCGACGCTGCGCTACGTCGAGGCAAAGCAAGCCGTTACTTTGCTTCCCGTCTCCGACGTCGAGCCGCCGACGTGCGTTAACGACTTTCTCGGGGAGTTCGTGCTGAGCGAAAGCCACGGCGCTGCGGAAGCACAGGCTCGGGACCCAGCTCGGCCATCTGGTTGTGACAGGGTGCGAGCCGCCGCCGCTCGTCTACTCGTCGCCTGGCGCCGCTGGCGCGTCCACGGAGTGCGCAGTATCTGTCGCCGTGCGTCCCGCGTCGCTCCCACCAGGGCGCCTGCGCAGCTACGTTCGGCATCAAAGCCGCGATCCGGGCCAAGACTTTCTTCTCCGCCAAGCCGATGAGCTGCATGCCAAGGCAGGCAGGCAGGCAGGCAGACTTAGCTGACGAGACCCTGATTCAACTTCACGACACGGTGCTCAAGCTCAAAGGGCAGCGCTTATCGGCGCCCTCAAGTGGGAATACGCGCCCGCAGGCGACCTCGTCTGCGGCGCCTCGCTTGTCCCGTCGGGCTCCACCGGCCACGGCCATGTGTGGCGCGCACGCCTGACCCTGGCCGTCAAGCCGCCCGAGACGCTGCCGCCGGCCTTTTGCGGCACCCTCATCGCGCGGTTGTATTCCCTGCTCGTCATCGTGCGCGTGCCGGGGGCGCGCGGCAAGAAGTGCGACCTGGAGCTCCCCTCCCAGGTGGTACACCAGGGCGACGACTCGAGCGATCCGTGTACGACACCCGCGCCGCCGGTTGGTGGTTGCAAGGGGCCCGGCGCGCTGCTGGGAGAGCAAGCGGTAAGTCCCCCGCGAGCACATTTGATGTATTAAAGTATCTAATGGCTCGCTACAATGCGAATGCTGCAGGAGTTGCCCGAGTACGACGACAGATGGACGGAGGCTTCGTGGAGACGCGTTGAACGGACCCGACGTTGATTTTGAGACCACCAGGTGGAACCGAATTGTGTAGACGGGTGGGATGATTGTGTTTTGTGGGTGCACAGCAAGGACAGCTCCGGGCCCAGACCCTGCAGTGGGCGGGAAAATTTGCCGCAGGGAAAACACACCCAGGTAATTTACCTAGTGATTCCCCAAGTCCGGCACATATTTGATTTAGCGTGCCAAAACAGAGATTGGATGGTGCCCGGTGGGCTTCGTGACAAAATCGTGCAGGATATGCATTCTTGCCCACGCCGCTTGCAGACATCGGAGCCTGAGATAAGTGAGCGAGCACAGCCTGCCGGTCGCAACAGGGGGGATGAGGACACCCTGCCCTCCGGCCAGAAGAACAAGCAAAACCAAGCTGATCCCCCCCGCAACGCTGCAGGCGCCAACGTTGCGCCGTCCCACTGCAGCCTGTGCCAAGGTGTCACTGGCCGTCTGCGATTGGCCGTGGGACACAGTAAACATATCAACGTAGACGAGCACCTGTTTCCGTTCCGCTTCCGCTTCCCGGTCGCAAGACGTTCATGCCATCTCATCCATCAGCTGAAACACCCTTATGTTGCTAACCATACAGTCCCTCGTCCCCATGCAGCCAAGGACCGACAGATCCGGCGCCGCGTCGGCGTGGCCTCGGATCTCGGCAAGGATGCGCGCCGCAGCCTCGCACGACATCTCTAGCCTCGAGGTCTGATCTAGCGCCAAAGTCGGGGAGTCGGGCGGGCAGTAGCAGTCGGACACTGGCGGCAGTATGCTCGAAGCGTGCGGACCTGGCGCGTCGTAGAAGAGGTGCGGTGCCAAACCGGGATCGGGAAGACCGGGCCATGGAGCTTGATCATGCACCTCCCGCCTGGGCTCCTGTCGACGATTCTCCATCGCGAAATCTCCAGCAGTCGAGGCGGGCGAGACGGGAGCACCCGAGTCCGGCGGCGCGCGCCCTTCTAGGGTGAGAAACGGGCTCGACGCCGCGGTGGTCGGGGGCGAAGGAAGACGATCAATTGTCCTAGACAATGACAATCTCGACCCCGCTCTTGGCCTAGCGGCTACTTCCACGGTGCCGCCGGGCTGTCCCGTCCCAAGTCGCGGGCGATCCCACGGTGTAGGTGCGCTCTTAGAGAGTGCCTCGGACATGTCGCGGAGAGGGTCGGGGGCGGAGAGATATGCGGTGATTTCGTGCTGCGAGACGCCTCGCCCGGCGAGCAGGGCGCGGAGACGCTGGTTTTCGAGGCCGATGGACTGGGCGGCCCGCTGCATCTCCAGGGTGGCCTCTACACCCCGGCGCTCATATTCCTGGAGCCGCCGTTGGAGGTCCGCGACGAACTCTTTGCGGCGGGCCCTCGAGAGCCGTTGGTTGTTGCGGTTTTGTACCGTGGATGCGGGGGTCTTGACCTGGAGAAAAGACGAGTTGCTGGTTAGGAGCTTGTGCATGCACGGGTAGAAAGGGGGACGCTTGAAACTGCCTACCTTGCTAGGCATGGCGACGACGAATGCGTTGGATTGTGCAGCAGGCTGGAGGGCAACAAGAAGCGGCGATGCGTCATGTCAAGCGGCCTCTGGGCGCTGGCAGAATGGCGGGACAGTCTGCAGAGTGGGTCGGGCCTGGCCTATGACAGGTTGTGCGATGGGTGCGAGGTGCTTGTGGAATCATTTGTGCCCCACAACCCCGGTCACTCACATGCCAAGCCGCCTCCCTTCAACGGAAAACTCCCTTGGATGCGAGGGCCATCCCGCCAATGACATGCGGGCAGTGACACATTCAGCGCATCCATTGTGGGGCAACTAGCAGCCACGATACCCGAGTGGGCACTGGGTACCTAGGTAACGTTATTACGGCCGTCCGAGGTGAGAGCTGGGGCGGCCCCGTCCCGACTTCTCTCCCAGCCCACCACGGAGACAAAACGGAGAGTTTTTGGGGTTGCACATGGCATCCACGTGACGCTGACAAACACTACCCCTGTCACGGTCTAGCCGCGGTGCCGAGTTCCGGCTCTGACGGCTCAGCAGAAAGCTCGTGCACTACCTAGGCGGGGAGTCGAGATCAGCTCGAATGCGATTTGTGGGCGGCCTGCCCGTGGGTCGTGCTCGGCTGCGCGACGAACCAGCCACGCTCGGGGGAGCTGGCCGTAATTTAGCCTGCCAAAGAAAGGCCAGAAACTCTCTGGGGCCAATGCGCAGTACCGCGAGCACCGCCTCGTGCATCAGGCGCTCGCAGTGTGCCAGGGTTGGACCAGCTGGCGGAAGACGAAGGGCAAGGTGGGTGCCAGTGCCGGGTCGTCGCGCACGACGGGAATGACCCCCCTCATAAGCGTTTCGAACGTGCGGCGTACGTATGGGGATGTGTAGTCAAGGTAGAGCTCGATGGTGTGGAAGGGCCGGCGGGTGGTTCAAGTCTCGAGCAGGACACTGGGACGATCAAAGACGAGGCAGTGGCCGGCAAAACTTGGGGGAGGGGCAGCGCCATAGCTTCAACATTTGCAGCCTCGCACGCGTGTATACGCCCCGCCCATTGCATGGGCAGTTTTAGTGATGGGCATCATCGGGAATGCCATAGTGGCTGGGAATAGCTCAAACTCCGCAGTCAGGGGCTCGATCGTAGCCAAGGCTTTACGCAACCCCTATCGAGGGACCACCCGCGGCCACAGAGTTCCGCCGCCCCGGTTGGCTCCACCATTTCCGGGCAGAATCGGTGGGTGGGCTAACATTGCAGGATTCCTACCTTGTGGTGCCCCAGGGATATGGGGAAGGTTTGCCAGGCTGACGGTGAGTTGGATGCGTGCGGTGACGTATCGAAAAAGTTTCCCTTTTGGGCATATCAACCGGGGCTTTTTATTGGACGGCTTGACAAGGCCCCGCTCCCTTGTCTCCTGAGCCAAGTCCATTTTAGGCTACTGATCGATCTGTCACCAGCAGGGCTGTCCGCCGAGTCGGGCTGAGCGACAGGTTACGGCTTGATAGTTGTGCCGGGGAACGTCTGTGGACTGAGGGTTGTTGTTATTATAAGAAGACACTGACGACCGCGCCTTTCCTCTGCTTGTGTGGGACACAAGGCCAACCCGTCCCGTCGATCGATATGGATTCCACTCAAGAGGTAGACATCATCATAATAGGAGCAGGCCTCTCAGGTTTGTCCTCCCTCATGAATCACATCTTCTCCAACTCGCGGCTTACAATTTATTAGGCATCTCTGCCCTGACTCGTATTCGACAACAGCTGCCAAACTCCAGCGTCGCCGTGTTCGAAAGGGGAGATCATGTGGGGGGCACCTGGGCCAAGAACACGTATCCAGGTCTAAGCTGCGATATACCGTCTCAGGTCAGAAACCAACGCCGGCTTGCCCCGCCCCCGCCCGTCGTTTAAGGCAAGCTAACTGACAAAGATAATGGGCAACTCTACTCGTATTCATTTGCTCTGAACCCAGAGTGGTCAGACGTGTACGCCTCCCAGCCCGAGATTCTCGCCTACACTGAGAGCGTGGTGTCTCGTTTTGATCACTCCAGTCATATTCATCTGAACCAAGAGTGCACGGCGGCAGAGTGGTTAGATGACGAGTTCCTCTGGCGGGTCCATTTCGTCGAGCGGAAGTCAGCCCGCAGCTACGTCAAGCATGCGAGGTTTCTCATCACAGCCGTCGGCTTCTGCAATGCGCCAAACGGTGCAGAAGGCATCCGGGACATTCAGAATTTTGGGGGTCGGATGTTTCACAGCGCTAACTGGGACCACTCGTTCGACTTTCGGGATAAGAATGTGCTTGTGGTTGGCAATGGATGCTCGGCCAACCAGTTCGTTCCCTATCTCGTCAAGCACGCGTCAATTCGGAGCATGGTGCAGGTCATGAAAAGCCCGCATTGGATTGCCCCAAAGGACAATGGCCCAGTGCCCGCGTGGCAGAAGTGGTGAGTCTCTGCATCTTCCCTTCCTAGGACACCCGCGCTGAGAAAGGTGGTAAGGCTGTTCCACTCCTTTCCAGCGTCGAACCGACTGTGGAGATTCTGGCTAGCTGCGAAGCTCGACTTGGTTTTCACTGCGTTCACGATCAGCACTATGGGAAAGATGTTCCGCAAGGTCCTGCAGAAGCAGCTCGAGGGCTACATCCAGCGCACTGCGCCTTCGGAGTATCACGACATTCTGATCCCGGATTTCGATTTTGGAGCTAAGCGACCGGTTTTGGACCACGGCTACCTCAGCAGTCTCCATGACCCGAGAGTGAAGCTCCTGCGATCGCCATCGCTGGCGGTTGTCGGGACGCTCGAGATCCAGGCTGAGAATGGCGAGATCTTCCAGGCTGACGTGATCATCCTTGCGAACGGCTTCAAGACTCAGGAGCTCCTAACTCCTATGACAATCACGGGACAATATGGGGCAGAACTCCCCAAGCTTTGGCGTCAGGAAGGGAATTTTGCGTCAGCCTATATGGGGTATGTACAGACAACTACACGAGATCGTTACTGAGCAGCACGCTGACAGCTTTCCTAGCGTCTGTGTGCCGGAGTTCCCAAATCTCTTCCTCCTCACGGGGCCAAACACCCTCCCGTCGGGCCACTCAACCCTCGTGGGTATTGAGTGCTCGGTGGAGTACATCCTCCGAGTAATCGCCCGCATCGTAAGGGAATCCACGGCGACGAAAGGAGTGAAGCTCCAGGTTCGGCCAAGCGCGCACCAGTCCTTCAACGATTGGATCCAGACAAGGATGCAGGGCCTCGTATACACGGCGAACGTGCGAACCTGGTACATTGACGGCCGTTCTGGACGGAACACACTCATCTGGCCCGGGACGCAGTTGGAATTCTGGTGGTTAAGGTGTGTGAGGAAGATACGCTGGAGCGATTTCGAAATAGGAAAGAAAGGCCTTTGAGTCGTGGGGGTGAGGAATGGGAATCCTGCCATGTGGCATTCCGGTGCAAACGCTACCCTTGTAATTCACATCGAGACTAGACAACAATCTACATAACGTTATCTTATAATTGCTGGATACGATAGTAGAGACAAGGAGCCAGGAAGATAAACAAGCTGTTAGATATTCTTGATCGACTGGGCAAGGCAAGAGACGTACTTGGGTTGCAGATTTCCGTAGCTGAGGTTAGAGTAACTAATTGGGAACACAAGGTAGCTAACTTCAAACCGTCATCCATCTGTATCCACCAGAAACGCTGCAAAAGGCCGAACCCAACGATATCCGTTCAGCCGGATTAACCAATGGCGGCGGTACGGTGTATCGACGCCGCAGACCGCGACCTTGCTACCCAAATTTAGATCGAGGTGATGTGGTCAATAAAGTCAAACAAGATGTGCGTCTGGACACGGCATCCAGTGCCGGGAACGACGGCCCGCCGAAACCCTGGCTTTAACCACTCTGTCGCAGTTAATAAGTCGAAGTCTGGCGAGCTATGGTCTTTAATGATTGAGTAGGCTCCGCGGCAGGGAATTGTAGACTCGCCAACACTTGGAGGTGGCAGGAGGGCGCAATCAAGATTCGGATCCTCGAAGCCGGACGCAGATAGGCTGTTTTTTGGCAATTTGGCTAGAGGTTGCGGGCTGGTGCTCCGTGGCTCTCGAGTGGCGGAGGGGATCGGCTCCGGGGTGACCACGCTTGCTTCTCTACGTATGGTGGTGGACGGGGAGGGGAGGGCCCCTGCTTTGGGGCGTGCAGTGAGGGCAGAAGGCGTTTGTTCCGTAATCTCATCGCTCTCAGCCCTACCAAGAGCTTCACGTTCAGGGGGGGTTGTTGGCTCAAGAACTATCTGCTGTTGAGCAGTCGTCTCTATCGGTGTGGTTGACCTCGAGCCAGGCGCTTGCTGTAGTCGCCGAACCTCAGCAGTCAAGCTCTCAATCTACTTTAGCGCTTTTTCAAGACTGCTTTCGGCGCGCGAAAGCGACGCTTCAAGCTCGGCGATTCGGCCTTTGACTCTTGCTCGGTGTCGCCGCTGGTTTTCGCGCTGTCGAGCAGCGTCGTGTCCCGGAGGTTTGCACGAGAATTTGTGAAGTCGAGTCCGGTAGAGGTCGGGTTACATTTTTACTGCACAGGGCCGATAGAGATAGAAGAAAGGTGGGTTGTATGGATTGGCTTTCAGTTCCGGAGTGCTGATGGTGAAGCGCGTGAGCTGGTGGATGGGGGAGTTTGGAGAGGATGGCACGTGGATGGATTCAAAACGGAAAGTATATCGATGACAAACCGAGAATCTTCTACTCCTGGTTAGCCGAATGGCGGAGCGGGGTACGGTGGAACATGCAATAACCCGATTAAGCAAGTATCCGATAACATACCACTTACACAGTCATCGGTGGAAGGGCACAGAACTCGTTTGGCTTCAAGCAGACAAATGGTATCCGGGCGGTATCCGGGCAGACCTCGTAAAACAGAAAACCCGAAAGTCCTCCTACACCACTTGCACATCCAGCCAAAAAACGCACCTTCAACGCCGACCCTCTCTCTTCCGGCCTGCACAATACGCGGCTTAAGATGGAATCATCCAAGATTTACGATCAAGTCCGCGAGCACTACAGCTCGGCATTACGCAGTACCGGCGTTAAGTACGGCGAGGCTGTGGCTAAATCCCTTGGCTACAGCGCAGACGAGCCGGCCAATATCCCCAAGGATGCTAACCTCGGCCTGAGCTGCGGCAACCCTTTGGCTATTGCCAGTCTGAAGGAGGCTAGTCACCCTCTACTATTCAGTGTACCTAATGCTAACCTCTAAAACAGGGTGAAACAGTCATCGGCCTGGGCAGCGGCGCGGGCTTCGACGTCTTCCTGGCCTCCACTAAAGTCGGTCCTTCCGGCCGTGCAATCGGCATCGACATGAACGATGTGCGCTAACACTACCCTTTCTACTCTTTCTCTCACCTTCCATCTCTCTCTCTCTCTCTCTCTCT